ATTTACTTGGTTATAAATCTGAATGTCCCCAGAATTCATTATCCTAATCAGTACTTTAGATGGAATTAATATATTTTTCAATTTCTTCAATGTCAGGAAAGCTACGATAAAATTCCCAAGAAAGAAAATCAGTGGAGAAAAGCAGTCAACTTTGATTTCTTGATGAACGAACGTCAAAATGTACAAATTATTTTGGAAGGGTTAAAAAAAAAAGGCATAATTGGGTATGTCAATTTCCATTCAAGCTATAAAAGTGGTGCGAATAGAAATAAAACTCTTTATAGAGTCAAATGACTCCATCCACACCACAAAATTATGACAAAAAACATCTACAATCACTTCGAATTAAATCATTTTCAAATTCAATGTCCGAATAATTTCAAAAACTCAAAGTAATCAGAAATCTTCATAATATTCAATATTTGTGTGGTCGACAACTAGTGAGATTAGAGGATACTTTCGAATTAGAAAATCTGAACACAAAAACAACATAACAAATCAATAAGTAGGAAAATCTAAGTCGGTAGAACATATTTTGATAAGACAACCTAATGAAACCAAAAGAAAGGTGAAAGGAGCGGCTTGAGAAACTGAACAGAACTTTTTTGATCAAACATAACTTGACAATACTTCTGAAAAAGAAACTGAATTGAAAGACTTTACACAAGTGGAATTTTTAACTTCCATAAGTAAGTTGTGAATGAAAAATCTAATTCAATGTTGAGAGACATTGAAATCAACATTTTACGATTTTCGGTGGAAGTTTTATTAATTTCTTCAATTATTTTATTTAAGGATCAGAAATGTTATTCAAAAAGAGTATGGTTTGGATTCTCGTTAAAAATTCGTAGATATTTGTCGAAAAATTAACGTGTTGCCAATAATAGGTACATCTTTCATTATTATCTTCATGAAAATCATATTTTTCATTCATTTTTTGAATCAATAATTTCATTATTAGCCTCTTCATTTCACAGGGCCGATTTATGAAAAATTGTTCAAATATTGGAATCATGAGGTGTTGAGGAATTCATTATGAGTGATCCTAAGTTATTCAAGTTTATTCACCACACTGTATAACCTTAAAAAATATCGACATGGTAGAAATGAGTCTGTTTGCAGACTATATTCTACATATTTAATAGTCAATATACCTAATTTTACAATTTGAAGTACCCACATTTCAAATACCTGATTTTGAATTAAATTGAATTAAATTACTTGAGCTTATGTCCGAGTTTCCACATTCGAAAAGATATTTAGTAACTGGGAGTTATTCAATTCTAATTAATCATTCAGTAAATTACCAGAATTCCTGGATATACTGATTTCTAAACATTCAAGAAGATTGAGTTTCAAACTCGTCTCCTCTAAATGTAACACGTCGTATTCATGATTGAATTCATGTCCTTCTGGTTTACAAATGTAAAACTGGTCTTTCACATTACAAAACTAATTTTATGCTCTCTAATTCTTTGGAAAAATGTTCTCCCTGTTTGGCGAATATACAGTTTGGGGCAAAGCCACAAGTCAGCTCATATACTCCTGATCTCTCTGACACCAAAGTTTCGTCTTTATTGTTTTTAATAAATTTACTTTGACTAGTATTCGTTCTGTGAGCTACGTTCACGCACTCTTTCTTCAAAAAACGGGCAATATTATTCGTTGGTTCATCCAAATATGACAATGTCCATAACTGACGTTATCGCATCTTGAATTTGGGTGGAAGGTCCATGGCTTGCTGTTGTAGTTTTTTAGAAAGAATGTAGTGTATAATATCTACCTTATAACCGTTGTTAACCGCGATTTGCTTGGTCAAACTCAGCTCTCTCTGGAAATTACTCTCAGACAGTGGAATATTCAATAGTTTGTGAATGCAGCAACTTTATGCTGATAAGGGTGTGTGGAGGAATTATGTATGATAATGTCCGTGTAAGATAGTTCGTGGAACATTCCAAATTCATGTTTATTGTTATTTTTCGTTTTGGTTCAGTCAAGTAACTGAGAAGGAGGTAAATAATTAAATAAATTACCAACAAATTATGGATTTTATTTCACCATACAATAATGTGTCGCTGTAATAACAATCGAAAAGCCACTCCAAAGCATTTCCTAACCGCAATGAAAACAACTATAAGGACCAAAATTCGTAAAATCACCACCTCACTAGCTATTTCCCATTACCTCGAAATTGAAACCGAGAAAAAGCTTTGTTTATTATCTGTAGAGTAACCGATATAACAAAATTCAGGGTGCAGAACTGGAATTTCTCAATGCCACCCATAAGATGACTTATGTTTTGTAAAGAACTAGACAGAGAATGTTTCTAATGCCAAAATACTGCCCGAATGAATATTGTTATGAAAAACAAAAATATGGTAAATTGATGGATGAAGCCGTTACTGCGTGGTAGGAAATCATAATGAAGAAAAGGGAATTGAAACTGTCTATGTGTTGTACCACATTTATTTGTAACTAACTTTACTGCAGTTTTGTCCTATAAGGACATTTTCATTTCATGTATAAGTTAGAAAATGTCCGTATAGGACGAAACTGCGGTAACGTTAGTTACAAATGAAAGTGGTAAAAAAACAGAAAGTCTCAATTAGCTTTTTTTCATTACAAAAATATAGCTTTTCATTGGAAAAAATGTTTGTAATATAAAGTAGATAATTGGGTGGACTCGATTATAATAATTAAAATCAACGAACCTTGAACTGAATCTATAATAATAATAATAATGTTTCAGATTCAAATCACAAAAAGAAATAACTAAAGTAATACATATAGTTTAATAAACATTGTAGAAACCACAGAAGCATCTGATTTTGCTTGTATGTGGTGAAAAGGAGATCCAAAGAAAACCAATGAATATATGATAAATATTAAATTATGATTATGAATTATGTAAAAGGGATTTGCATATGAAAATGAACTGCTTAATATATGGAATTAAAAATACATAAGATGATGTAAAATCACAAATATAAGTATAAATATAAAAAGTTGTCAGTTTTGACGTATAATATTATTTGAATATAAAATCATACAAACATAAAATTGAATTGACAATTAAGTATAAAATCACAATTATAAAATAGTCGTACTAGTAATAATATACAAAAATATGTTGAAATCGATATGGATGTTGTTGAAAATGGATGTGATATATATTAACAAAACGATAGTTCTCACATATACACATATATACATACATATATAAATACATATGTATTACAGAATTGTAATATAGCAAAATTACGTATGTTTTTTTCCCATCTACTCAAATAGACATACAAGTTCAAGTCTCTGACTTTGAAGAATATGCTCTTTCAACTCTTTTTTGGAGCGATTGATATTTGAGATATCTTTTATATTTTCAGGAATTTGGTTGTAGAGTTTTGGCGCAAAGTAAGTAAATGATCTTTGAGTAACTACCCTGACCATTAGGGGTGTAGTATATTGATCTCTTTGGCGGGTGTGTTACTGATGTGAAGGAAGCGATGCCGTATGTCTATTTGTATGATATTTAGTGCTGGAGCATAAAAATACAACTGTCGCATGTCTAACATACGAGTTTCTATGTATAATCTAATCCAAGACATCGAATGAGGCCTACAGACGGAGTCATTCGAACACAGGATATCAAATAAATGTGTTAGTGCGGTCTCCGTGTTTATATCTGTCGAATTCTTCTATTATTTGCAACTTTGCAAAAGTTTTTGAGATTCTGTCGTTTGTACGGATTAATTGCATGTAACAGAAATGATTTCAAAGAAACTTCAACCTTAAAAACTTCATTCCATGCTTTCATCAGATCAAAGTTAGAATACGCGTCAGTTGTGTAAAGCCCCTTTTATCAATATCAAATTGATAGAATAAAAGCAATTCAAAGACAATTTTTAAAACTGCTAAGCCTAAAGACCTACAAAAGCATAACTTTTTCAGTCTAGAAAAAAGGCGTGAATATTATAGTGTTGTACTAACCTATGAAATCATCAAAAGTATAGTTAACTGCCCAACATTCCTGGAAAAGTTAAATATTTGCATTCCTGAAATCTGTTCCAGACACCCGAGTACTTTCTATATAAAAACATCTCGCACAAATGTTCTGAAGAATTCTCCAATCCATACCATGTGTAAAGTTACAAACTCTGTTCAGATATAATTTAGATACATTTAGTTGCAAATTGTCAGATATAAAATCCCACTTACCAAAATAATTGTTTTGTCACCTATAATAAATTCAAATGTAGTCTTTATAGTCACTTGTTTGTATTATTTGTAGTGTTTGTAGACTTTAGAGTCACTTGTTTGTGATGTATTTATTATACTGTTATTTCTTGCTCTGTACTTGGATTATGTCCTGTATAGTATTGTATTACAAATGAATAAATACATAAAATTGATTGAAAAACATAATCCAAACAGGCATAAAGTCGTTCATGAAAAGAACCTATTCGTTTATGAAAATGAGTGAACCATCTTAATGTAAAACTCCACTTCAAATAAAAATAGATACAGTCATGAAGAGATAATGTAACACGGTCAGTAAGATTTATATAGGTAATATGAATAAGTTTTCGGACCAATGCTTCATCACAGTCGTCACCACGCTTGCCATTAGCCAAGCATACCCATAGAAACATCCACCCATTCATCCCTGGAGTTATCGAACAGAGCGGACATACCCCGCCGTTCCTGCAAAACCCGATAAAAGATCCAGCGCATCGTGGCAGCAGCAAAGACAACCCCGTAAAGGATGCGCCGGCCGTCCAGGCCCATCATAGCATCTCACTACTCGATTGTTTCGACGCCGCCGCTATTTTTTGCCCATCGGCGACGGACGCCGACGTTCGGCGGGAGAGACTAGTGCTCGAACGGACCGCTAGAGCGCGCGCGCCGAGCCGGCTGTCGGCCGCCATTGGTAGCGGGGCGGAGCCGCGAGCTGACAGATCATTCATCTGAACACCCCACTCTGCCCCCTTCGAGCGGCGTGATTGACAGTTGGCAGACGACTGCGGAACGCGTAGCACCACCGCACGCGGTACATCGGAAAAACGACACCTCAACGAGAAAAATATCCATGATCGGGCCGTCTTCGAGGACATCCATCGATACGTCGGTGTGACAGTGAAGTGAGACGAAAGAGTGCTCTGGATAGTGAAAGTGCGCGAGAGTGACACATCGGCCACCCTAAAGTGCGGGCAGAGTGCTGTACATGGCTCAGCCACGGGTACGAACGTAATCTAGGAGGCGACGCTTTGGATACGGCACTTTCGTTCATCAGTCAGCACCACTTTCAGAGGACCATAATTCATCCGGCAAATTAATGGAGTCATCCGCGATCATCAATCATAACCACTACCCGACGCATAAATCATAACGCATTTTATACACCGTACGGCATGCCCCTAAATTCAAATGGCGCGTTCTTTAACCCCAATGGCATACCTCTAAACTCAAGTAGCGCGTTTTTTAACCCAAACGGCATACCTCTAAACTCAAATAGCGCGTTTTATAACCCGAACGACGTATCCCTAAACTCAAATAAACGGAATATAACGCGATTTCCGTATAAATAACGCCGATAAATAATAAATCTGTTTCAGGCGCGGTTCTAAGAAAAAGCAGAGATTTCCACTGAAATTACAAAAACGTATCAATAGTTCACCAATAAAAGTAATTATTTAGCGGGCCTTTCGAAAACAATTGATAACCAATGAAATAACTACATACATGGTTGAAGTTCTTATCACTTTCCACAATGAGTCCGCGAGGCTGTGTGTAACTATTATAATTAAGTCACAATAAACGCTAGAGACACGGGTAGAATCGGAAGATGGTGACATTTGTATTCAGAGAACATACAGAAACGGGAAATATCCGATTTTTTGCATGTTCGTTTGTAATGGACTAACTAAACTGTTATATTTTAACGATTTCAAAATTTCTCTCACTTATGGGAAGCTACATTATCGAAATGTCATATAAATAAGGAATATCAGCGGGTCACAATATACGCTTTTTCTTCAAATTAGTCAATTGTATCGCTGATGGAATCAAAAGATGGAAGGGCACCCCTTTTATAGGATAATAATCTTTATCCGAATAAATAGTTCCACAATGACGTACCACTCTTCAATTGATTTGAGTTAGACCTTTGGTTGGGATAAAAATGCCACGAGTATAACAAAGACTATTCAGTGATTTACGGGGGTAAATTATTTCCGTATTCGACGAGGACCAAGTTGCTGGTAAAAGCTTTCGTCTATGGAAAACATCTATGTAACAGATTCAGTGATAATGAAACTCAGACAGTAGCAAGTTGAAGTACCTGAATTTGTTCAAACTTTTGAGCCGGGAACTTGACCTATGTTTCTCTAAGTTGGGCTTCTTCTTCAAGTGCGTAGCTACACCAAGATGGGTATACAAGGAAAAAATATTATTCCTCGGGTAGAGGAAATCTACATTTGGTTTCACTAGTTCTGATTTCTTTATGCTACAGGTTTGATTTTCTTTCAGAAGCTGAGATGAATTTTAAGAATTTGGCAACGTAACTTAGTTTCTTTGATTTTATCAAAACAATCAATGGCAAAAACTCTAGTAAAGCAAAGAATATAATTCCAAGACCAGTCCCTCCGTCTTTTTTGCATACAAAAATTCAAAAAATTTCGTGGGATGCACGTGCTCCAGATTTATGTCACCCTGAATTGTACCCGTGCGAAACCGGGGTGTATTTTTCACGGAGCGACGGCCATTGGCAAGGCCTTCGACCTTATTTATATTACCAGCGGATAGATATAATGCCGGGTTCATCAAGATGCGTCGTCCGACGCTGATCGTACTTTGCGTGCATACACAAGTAGTTTTGTCGTTATTATGAAAACGTTTGCGTCCGTATTCTAATTCGGCTGTAATGAGAATTCAGGTGATGTGTAGCACGGGAATAGATTTGAATTGAACATTCGATCCGAGGAAAGATAGTTCAACACGAGACATAGTGCACTCTTAAAAAGATATATCTAGGAGCGATTAACATACGCCACAGAGCACCCTGGAACGTTTTGTAAACCGAGTCATATCAGACACAAATTTACACTCTCACGAAAAACCAACTACTATTCGGCTACTGAACCGTCTCAGACACTACGATCTGTCAAAAATGCATTTTTTAGGACAACTTAGAAATTTTGATAACCAATACAGTCCGATTGATTATCTGATTCATCTCATCCTTTCATTCATCTGTCGATGAATATTCAAAGCCATTTTTAGGGGTTACTATATAATCGTTAGTCATTAAGACCTACTTCAAGTAAAGCCATGTAATCTAGAGTTACTTATAGCAAAATGAATAGAAACGTTCAGATTTTTTTTTATTAATGGAACTGTTTTTCCCACATTCAGATCCAAAATCAATTTCCAAACAAATATGTTGATACAGAGTACCTTCTATTCTGATGAAGATCTTAGAAACGAAAAACGGTTTCTGAATACTGGCATAGCGTCGAAATTGGTCATTTCACCGTAACAAAAATGAAAATAATTTTCCAGAAGAGGTAACATTTACGTAGTTGATTTTTCAGAAATAAAAACACCACTCACTCAGACAGCGCGTTCTTTAACCCGAAGGGCATACCTCTAAACTCAAAAAGCGCGTTTTATAAACCGAACGGCGTATCTCCAAACTCGAATAAACGGCATAGCATCGAAAATGAAAATAATTTTCCAGAAGAGACAACATTTACGTAGTTGATTTTGCAGAAATAAAAACACTATCCGCTTTTCGAAAATTTGTCGTTAATTGCTAACGCAATAAATATACAAAAAAATTGCTTCAAGTAATTTTTACTGACAACGACTAAAAGAAAGAGGTCTGCAACAATGAAGGCAACACATACTAAAATCCATACTCTCATGAACTGATACAAACAAAGATATCCCATGAATTTGATAAAGAAATTATTGTAGCTACAACTTCAATACTTGCTCTGCTAAATTTACGAGTGTTTTTCTCTAAAATTATTCCTGAATGCGCAATGAACGGTGGCATTGGACCCCAACTAATTTAAAATAAATAACAGGCTTTTATCAAATAGAAAAACCCATATCGTTCACCATAATTAGCGAGTATCGAGTTTGATATTACTGAAATAATTGAATTAAGGCATTTTACTTCATGTTTGTTTACGAATAGTGACGTGCGCGATAAAACTTTTCATAATGCCTTTCAAGTTATTGCTCCTAATAGATTTTTAATGGTACAATTAACACGAACACTGTAAATAACAAATTAAACAAGGATTTAATGTCGAAATTATGTCATTCGCCAAACAAAGTATTTCAACAGAATGTTACATGGAATTGGAAATAACCACAATAGCTAGTCTGAATGGAAGATGAGCATTTGAGTATCCGCATTGAATTCAAAAGAACGGATTGGTGAAAATTCTTGATACACTGTTTTTTCCGCAACCTGATCGGAAAACTCTGATCTAACGCTTTTATAACAGCGGCAAAACCCCGTCTCAGTGATCATGAAGTCACGGATCGGTGAAAATTTTTGCTATACTGTTTTTCTTTCTCAACATGGCTGAGAAAAAATCTGGCCCAACACTGATAACAGCGTCAAGACCCCCGTCTGTGCGATTCAAATAAATCATTAGGCCATAAGTGTGTACTGCCTCTTGAGTAAGAGTTGCTAATGGATCGAGAAAGATAATTGTAGATTCGATTAGTCAATAGCATCAATTAAACCCGAGTTTCTACGGCTGATCGGGCAAGACTTATATTCGACCCGTAATTACGGTTTGGCACTCAACGCATTCTTTTAATTTTCTCTTAAAACCGATGATCCAGCACTTTGCTGGACCGAAAGATATCCTACCTGATTATATGCAGTAAAATGCCGTTCGAAAAAAGCCAGTCACCGTGATTCTGGATTATCATCGAGGAATGCCGTGAAGAATCCGAGTCGACAAAGAAGTTGTCGAGGCCAAGTCGGTTGATGCGAGTTTGTCTTCTACCGTCGCTTGCTTCGATGTTGTTTGTTGTAGCGACGCTTGCTGGGATATAAAAGTGAATAAGAGAAGATTCTTCGGAACGACACACGGGAACTTCTATCTCGGTGAACAACTCAATCTGTAAATAACCTCACCGTTCAATGATTCGTTTTTTCTCTCGATTTCTTTTTTCATTAGATTTTGAAAATATACCCCAGTTCTGAATGATATTGGAGATCATTAGTTACGTTGAATGACTTACTCTAGACTTAACCTGAACTGTCAATAGTGTGATTTTTTCTGCCGAAGAGAATTTTTATTCTCTTGAGATTTTTTAGAATAGGTATCGCCCAGTAACAATTTTTTTTATATTCATTTTAAAATTTTATCTAAAAGAAAGGTATACCGAAACGAATATATTTCAGAAGAATTGACAGTTAAATCAAGTTATAATTTTGGGATCCGTTATAAACTTATAGTTATCATAATAAAGTGAAATCTTAAAACAAAATAAGACCGAAATTATTTTTATAGGAATGTTATTGGACAGTAAATATATCTTGCAGTTTTTGAAAATGTCCCTGAAATGTAGAAATTAAGTGAATTGACAATTAGTATGATAAAAATATTGTGTTTGTTGACAGTGAATAACAATTTTTTTTCATTAATATTTCAAATTACCTATTTCGACTCGTTAACACCATTCATTTTGGTTCATTTCCATCTGAATGAACAAAACTGCATTGAAGTGAAATTATTCAAAGAAGATAAACAATTTAATCGTAAAAAACCAGATTCATCAAGAAGATTGAACAATTGTGCTGATGTTTCAATAATTTATCAACAACAAAAAATGAAGCTATATTTTCATCACCATATAATACAAATAAAACCATTATTCATCATTTATTTTTAGGTTAGTTTCGACCTAGGCATTGAGAATCATTCACAAGATTAACCAAATAGCTTTCTGCATATGCTTCTCTGAACTTCCAGAAATACAAAAATATAACGATTTTGTATTCAAATCATAACATTCTAATATGCTCTTTTTTATACTTCTCTTCGACATTCTTTGTTGAAATATTTCAGACCACAGAGTTAGGGTCTACTATTATTATTATGCCTCATTTCTTGAAATAGTTAATACGAAACATTATCTTCAGGTTATTTCTTTAGGTATCAATTGCATTTATCATCAAGTTCAAATATTTTTCTGTCAGGTGTTGTAACATATAAAGTCAAAAGCAAAAACTACAGTTGGTATCACTGTACGTGAAATTCTGAACTGAGTGGTGGCAATGGATTGTTGAATAATGAAAATGAAAAATTATGCGACGGATACTTACGAATGTTTGAAATTAAATTGGTTAAACCGTCAAATTTTGCTGAAAAGTCAAAAATATTCATGATGATTCATTTTGATCGATGACATCGAATATAGTTGTCTATAATCGCTGTAAAACTTCGTGAAAGTTGGCTAGCTTCAAAGTTTTTCATCGTTTTTATATATCAAAAGAAATAACCATTCATGAATTGATTTTAAAAAGGGTCAGTGCTACTTAAAAAAAGCGTCAGCATTCATTTTTCGAAAAAAACAGCTCAAATTTTCATCCATCTTTATTCATTGCTGCTGTTCCGTTTTCCCACTACGTGGCTCCAAAAGTAGAATCGGAACCAGGAAACAAGCGGAAAAGTCGTGTAAACTGCGGGAAAACCGGGGAAAATTCGTCTCGAGCCGTCGGACCCCAACCTAATTGCCGCGTAGCAGCAAAAAGGCCCCTAAACGGAGTAGAATCGTACGAATACTATCAAAGTGAAATCGAAATTTAAATCAAATCAGCTTATACGAGTTTATAGCTTCGAATAGAGAGTTTTTTGGAGTTTTTCTGAAAGATACATTACATACATTTACTTAGAGCAACGAAAAAATTGACCAAAAAGTACTTTACTCATATTATTCATTCTGTGGTGACGTTAGATTTCATTCTATTTTCCAATTCTGATATCTTGCAATTTTAACTTTACAGCATGCGGAATGTTAGGCAGAACCATTTTCATTTTGAGGTTAAATTTTTCAATTACGAAATGTAAGCTTCTCACTGTGAAATTTGTGAGGCCCACACAGAGTTTACTACTTGTGAAAACAACTACTTGTGAAGTATGGAAGAATTAAAACGGTAGAAACTTTTGAATCAACGACATTTAGCTGTGAAACGTTTGAAATTCTAGAAACTACAGAAGACTTACGTTTGTATAGCTGTTTCTCATCGATGGACCGAGTACAAGCTTTCAAATAAACAGTAGTTTTCTCTGATTTACTGTGTTGTGTTCGTATTTCACTATAGAACGAAAGAATGCTTTGTTGAAGTATTTTTTATTGAAAACGCATGTGAGATCTTTTGTTACCCTAATTGTAGAAAGCATCATCAACCATCCCATGACTTTTTTCGTTTAAAACCAACACGCAGTACTTTCAATACCAGTCTAAGGTCGCCCTAGTCGAAATCCTTCCTCTATATGGAAATCAAGATTCAAATTGCACGCTCATAAAATTTTACTGGCAGACGGTTAAAGAGACGTTTTGAAATCATTCCCGAGCCCTCAAAATAAAAAAAGACCACCATATAACACAGTCTGTTTAGTACTCCATGAAATTTAACGACGACAACCATTCCATTCCAACAAGTTCCTGGTTTAGAGCCACTAAAATCGAGACTAAAAAGTGAAATAACCTCCATACACTGCTCACGTCGCGGGTAAATACTTCATCATTGGCTGAATAGGAGCATTGTGCACACTGTTGCCAAAACAATATAGGTAGTTGTTTTGCGAGAGGGTTTACGTCAACAATCATAACCTTAAAACTGTGCTCTGTGCACCAGAAATCGAACTGTCCAATGAAACAACCAACAATAATAAATTAATAGATGAAATGATCATGTTACGTTTTGTTGGCAACACGGATTGTGCGTTGAGGAACTTGAAATGTGGTACACGTTTCAATTTTCACGAAGGAAAATCCACCCTCATTTCTATCGTGAGTTAATAAAAAGTAAATTTAAAGGCAATAAAAGTAGAGAACTTTTTCGGTTAGAAGTTTGGGAAGATGCTTCCCTACCTTCAGTGAAGCTTCATGAAACATTTCCGGGGAATACAAAAATAATTGATTCTTTTGATAAAATTTCACAGTGAATTACACCATTCTATCGTATTTCAGTGGGTTGAATTGAAGGACGTTACAAAATAAATAAAAAAAAGAAGATGACTGTTTATGATTCGATAAATAGTATAGATCTATCCATCTATGATATTTCAATTAAATGCTTCTAGAATTTATGAGTCTTTCATACTAGAATCAAATAATTGTTGATGTGATCCATACTGAATATATTCTAAGAAAGTAAGCATTCATTTTAGATATTGAAACAGAAAAGTCATCAATATTTTTAGTTCAGATAGATGCTTGATGGAAAACCATAAAAATTCAACTGCAGATTCGAATAATTCCATTATCACTCGTGGTTAAAGTCTAAAAAGATAAACTGAAACTTGTACGATATCTAGTAGAAATAATGATAATCCTCTAATCCCCAGCTTCGATAAGCGCCGATCAAAAAAAATAAGATAAGATCTCCGCCACAATCACCTTTCTTTCACCTGTTTAGTAATTTTTCCAATGTATTTTTTACGAGAATAATTTGTTCGAATATACCGTCCCGGCTTCCTAATCTTTGAAATGTTGCGCAAACGGACTTGACGAATTATCGATGAGCCTTTTATGAGGCATTTATCATAAAAACCAAATTTCTAAAGTTGCAATAAACTTGATACATGAGAGCTTGACTACCGTTTTTATTACACTTTTATCTTTAATGCGGACATTTATTTTCAATTCTTTAAGCTGTTATTTATTACCTGACGATTTAGGATATTCATTTGAAACAATTACATGGAGGTGCCTAATTTCACAAATTAACACTTAATAATTGCCCAGCAGAAATAAGCATGCACCTAAAAAAAAACCGGACAAAAATTTCACTATAAATCACACCGAATACAAAAATTGGTTGTAATATAATTAGTATTATTCTAACGCTAGTAGCGGTTTATCTACGCGTTTTTCTGCAACTGCTGACGAGGTTATAAAAAACGGCATGTCAATTCAGCACTCTCAATTTGCCGCTTCCAGTGATTTTATTTATTACTGTTGGACAGCATGTAAATGTCCAGCCGTGTAATCGGTTAAATGCTTTTTTCGTCCGGTTTATCCAGTTGGAAATTTATTTTCTTGTGGTGTATGACTCCATATAAAAAATATTTCTCTAAATAACTTTGTTCAATGGGTATTTTTGAGATCAAAATGTACGCATACCAAAATATTTCCTTAACAAATGGGTGCGAAATTTGAATCTGCAACATATTTTCAAATCATTACCGATCAACAACATTTAAAAGCGTATCAAGTCTGCCGAAAAAATTTATTATTATGGTACGACAGGCAGAAGTAATCCCGTGGTCACAACATAAATGTTCCAGTTTTTTTTTCCGTATCACTTTGTGTTTGCTTCTTCATTTGGGGTTAAAACAAAATCGCGATTAGTGAGTGGTCCTGTGGTTTCTGCGTCAAGATAAATTGTGCAGTGCCGTATTCAAAGTGTCTTCCACGATGGACTTTGCACCAAAATTCTCATATGAATCATTTTTAGGTGTAACTTATAGCATAAGGCCGTTACCTAGTCATCAAAATTCTCATCATGGATGTTCTTCAGAAAAACGTAAATATATACATGTTTCATATAATAGATATTAGTGTTGTCAGTAATATAACCTGAATTTATTATTAACATGGAAATAAACTATTAATAATGATTTTTTCAAACCAATCACGGTAGTTTTTCTAGAATTTTAGAACACAGAAAAGATTATGTTGATTATTTCTAATACTTTTACGCATGAGTTTTTTTCAATCGTGTAATATTTGTATATTTTTTTAAAACAATTCGTTTTCAATGAATATTTTTCATTATGATCATACTTAAATACACGCCGGTGGAATAATGTACTAAATAAGCCTTAGTAGTTTTCAACAAATCTCTGTTAAGCTAGTAAAACCACTTTGGAATTCAAAATAATTTTCAGGCCATAATTTGGGGCTAATTTCAGCCTCCTGTTGCCTCAATTTGTAGGGCTAGTGAGCTCAATTTCACAAAATCCATCAAAAAAATAAATTACATGTATAAATTCAAAATTTGAGGAGTGTGAAAACTCTGCTTCCAAACAATTCATCAGTATACTTTGCTAGAGATTACTGGATCAAAGTGAGTTTCAAACATTAACTAAAACACAATTTCTGACGAAAAAGATCAGTCATTAAAGAAAAGTTTGTTAAAATCAGAGCAGGTTATCATTATTCAATAAATCAATTTCTTTCCGAAATTCCAGTAACATGGAAAGATCAATAAACCAGTTGAAGCAGCCTATCAAACAAAATATTGAAGAGAAAGTTATTGCGTTGTTTATTTCAGTGAAATTCAACTATTTGTGTGAGAAAATGGCACACAAACATAGCAATCCGTCATGAAAATGACGAAAACATCCGCGACGGATACTTGAAATTGAAATAAAATCGCCAGTCACGAAAATATAACACATTTATTAGCTTTTGATATGAAATGATTTTATTCTTGAGTTGATGTTTCCAAACTATCAATCAAAGAGTTTCAGAGTTGTCAGAAACTTTGACTACTTTGAAATTTTGCATGTGTATGTTCAAAAATATTATTCATCTTGACCCAAATACTAAAAATGTTCAGAGTATCACTCGATAAAATCGAATGTTTGCATTCACGATTGGATTTGTAAGTAATTGATGAAACATGAAATGGTTTTGCAAATCTTTCTAATGCTTGAGTGTAGAATAAATGGGTTTTCGATTTGCAGTTGCTACAACATTGTTTTTTGTATGAGTGGCGGTATCAAAAACAATATCAGCGATATTCACGTGAATCATTATTATTGTTGTGCTGAACAGGTGATATTGTTGTTCAAATGGGAGTGTTGCAAGAATTATCGAAGTTGATAAGTTTTTTTTTGTATTTGAAGAATAATTTCCCAAAACTTCTCAACGTCAACCTTTTCTTTGAAGATAATTTCTGTAGCGGTAGCAGACCACGTATTTCAAAATTAAAAGTAAACTTCAGTAGATACATTTATTATACACCATAAAATGTTTTATTACTTAATGATCGAATAAAATAATTATAACACCTCCAGTGAAATCATTCAAATCCCATTCATCGTATTGTGTTCAAAATTCAATAATTGGATTTGAATAAAAAATCATACTTTTGCACAAACAACATACAAAATTCCACCTGTTTGTTTTAGAATCAGGATGAATTTAATGAACTTTATCATACATATTCATTTTTTTTTTAATCTTGGACCAAATTCATTAATATTTATAGTTTCTCACAATTCTAGCTTCTCATAAACTGCGTAGATAAAAAATCTGGTTGAGATTCTAATTTATTGGAAATGGCTTGGAATTCAGAATAAACTAAATGCTTATGTTAATCTTCTTTGTATTCAATAAAATATGCCGTTTGCTTGACGCAGGTGAATATTTTATATGTTTGATATTTCAAAACAGCGGAATGGATAAATTCAAGCACAAAAGAAAGTTATATGGCCTTACAGCGTGGGCTACAAAATATTCCAGGTGCCAAAGGAAAAGGAGTGACGTTTGAAACCGTAGATTCAATAAATTTGGATGAATACCTTTACGTTTTCTTGGTACTTTCTAGACAGTGGTATTATCGAACTCAAAATTGAAAATAAAAAACTTTTCACTTGTTGTGTGAAGTGAAATCAAGCTCTAATTACCATTTGGACTGAAAAACTCAGCGGTCATTACTTTTTTACACCTGAACAAAAATTAAGCGCGTCGAATGTTGTACACACTAGTCGTTAATTTAATTGTTAAAGTCATTTGTTTTATCGTCCATAAATTACTCGTGGTAGCACTAAATAACGTATCGCAAATATTAGTATTTATTTTCACTTCGATAGTTGAACTTCTTTTAAGTCAAAAAATCCAACAGCAACTTAAGAATTTCGCACAAATTTTGTGTTCAACAGAATAAAAACATTTATTTCAAAATAATGATTTAAAACATTTTCATTTTATGTTTTTTATGTTTTTTTATTTTCAAAAACAATACCATATATATTTATTCATATGTATGTTGAATTATTGAAACTATCATTTGTTGATCCACATATGTTGTTTGAATTTGAAAAATCTTTAATGCAAACTCTATTTCAAATTAATCAAGTTATATTTCTACTCGCATTTCTGTAATAAAACATATTCACAAATTCTTAAAATTGATTTTTATCCTCTGATATAGTCAATCGATAGGTTAACGGTCTGATGAAAAAGTACATACTGTACATTGTACTATATACTCACATTCTAACTGCAGAATACAAAAATTACTATGATTTTCATATGAATATTTATTTAATATTTTATATTTTGAGTGAATCCCTAATATACCATTTTAATATATATGTTAGTACATTTAAATATATTTGGGAAAGAAAAATTTTCGCTTTCTATTACTCCATCTTGTTACCATTCATTTAAAGTAGAACTCATGTGAATGATATCTGATTTTATTCCATAACGAATGTTTGGACTACAAACTGAGTAGAGAAAAGTATCATCTGTAAAATTCAGTGTTCATATAAAAGTATATGTTTCGAAAGTTTTTTTTTCTTTCGTATAATTCAATGTTTATATGAAAGTAGCTGTTTCAGGAGGGCTTTCTTTCAGTTTATGTCTGAAAGTTACTTCTTTGCCTGATCTACACATCCATGTATAGAGTTACTTATTTTAAAATTGATTACTTCCTTTCTTTCTTTGGAAGATTCCCACATTTTTTGTATCAAGAGTTTCAAAAATGTTCATGCTTTTTCAATTCGTAGGAAAATAAGAAAATCAGATTTGTATGGCAACTGAAATAAATAATTTGTTCGATAATAACTATTTGTAGGTTATATATTTCCCGTGCTTGGAATCTCACGTTGAAAGGCAAGACCTCGTTTATCCTTAGCTCGCCCAAGTTTCGATTTCGTGTTTGTAGGGAAGCGTCAGCTGGTTACGAAAAAACAGATTTTGAAAGATTTTCAACAGAATCATGTTTTTGTGATCTAGTCAAAAAAATTTGGAAATTTTCACGCTTTTTCCAAAATCACGATATGATTTAACTATCGTCTCGTTTTCCAAAAAATAACACTGTATTAGAACTGGTTTATCGCAGGAATTTCTGGAATAGTTTAGCTTTTGATATATTCCCGTTTAATTAGTTTGGAACTGACTCACTACGGTGTATTGAGAATAAATAATTATGTATCATATATCACAGTTCACTTGACGACAGAGTTTACAATTATCCACACGCCTGGCAAAATTCTCATTCGCTTCTACCGCCTCATACTTGCTCTCTAACATGATTAAGCGACATCATTTCTTATTCTAATTATTCATCGGAAATTATCAACAATTTGTTTGAAAATTAACGATGAGAAAGTCCGGCATATCTTTCGAATCGAAAATATAACCACTCGAGAATGTGAAGTTCGTCAGGGCTGAAACTTGAAAACACGATAAATGAGTTGCTTTGAATTTTTGGACGCTATGCGTACTTTTTTATATATGCGTAACACAAAAACGTTGAATATTCATGCATTAAAAACCAAAACAGCAGAGTGAAGTTAACGTGAATAAATGGAAAACACGATTCATATTCATATTAACTAAAATAGAAATGGTAATTACGAGGTAGTTATTAGCCATGTTTCGTGTTCCCATTTATAGGAATAGAATGGAGATAACAAGATATTTACATCATTATTGGCTCTAAAAATGAAAAACAAGTATAATAAATGAAAAATTCATTGATTGGAACCATTTTCAATACAGGTTAATACTATGAGGGATCATTATCGGTTTTTCATTGATTGTTTTCATGTTTCATAGTAAGTTTTTATAATTACTCAGAAATCTGATAGAAAACAAACTACTTGATATTACTCTACCTATATCAATTTTCAATAACATCATTCTGGTTCCTGATGAGCTTTCAAAATAACTCAAAAATTTAACGTTGGTTGGTCAAAGCAAACAATAGTAAATCAATATTGTGCATTTGTTCTTTGACAGGAGTTCGAATCAACTTCAATAATGGGAATGAGTCGATCAAAAAGCTCTCCAAATGAAACCTAGTACTGTGGATGAAGAATTATTATCAGTTCTTCATGAACGATATTTTTCAATTACATGATGAACTTTTATAATTACTCGAAAATTTCAAATTGACTGATCATAGCAAACAAAAATAATACAATAGTTGAAATTGATTGAAATTCAAATCAAATTCAACACTAGCAACATATCTCTGGAAAAAATCTATAGAAATGAAAAATATGTAATATAAACCATTTTCGGTAATAAATAATATAACATGAAAACTTTCAATGAACTTTTTGTGGATTGCTTTCAGATTTTGAAACGAATATTTTCGATATCACTTGACAAAAACTCGAGTTGGATTAAATAATAGTAACAGGCCTCTCCAAATACAGTTCAAGAAAGATTTGTTGATAAAAACCTTTATCATTTAGAGACAAAAAAATCAATGAAAAAATGGAAATATTATTATCTTTTCGAAATAGTCCTCAGTCATCTCTTATCTGAAAGAAGTGTTGGAAAAATAAACTCGTTAACATACTAAATAAACTACATATCACAAAAACAAACCAATTTCATGATATTTTCAGGTTTTGTGAAAAACTGTTATCGTCACTTAAAAAAAAATTATATTCACCAGTCACATCAAACAAAAAAATGGTTGTTATCTGACAAAAGCTTGAATCAAATTCAATATTGTTAATAATAACAGATCTCTCAAAAAAGCAACATAAATAAAAAAAGGAAATATAAAAATATTATAATTGATGTAAGCCTGTGGTATTATTATTTATTGTAAAACGTGACTGGCAACTACCAGATTCGAAAAATGTGATGTATGGATTCATATAAAAAAATTACCAAAAAAAATTTGGGAGATCTATAAAAATTATCTAATTATTCTTGTTTTGAAATAATCTATATCTTGGACCACAGTAAAGCATTCGATTCATTAGACAACGATATTCTGTGTAGGAAAATTTCATTTCACGGATTTAGTGAGGGGACTGTAGACCTATTGAAAAGTTACCTCAGGAATCGGACTCAGTCAATATGATTGGATGGAAAATGTTCTAGTGCTTCACCTGTTGACTATGGAGTACCTCAGGGCTCTATCCTTGACCCCATTTTGTTCTCTCTATACATATCTGACTTCCATAAAATAATTGATCATCGCACAGTTCCTCATTATGCAGATGACACTCACTTATATTATCGATTTCCTCCAAGTAACTGACAGGTGGCAATGGAAAAAATTACCAGCGATCTACAAAAGTTACTGGATCTATCTATAGCCTATAACCTGAAATTGAATTCTAAAAAATCTCAGCTGATACTTTTTGGCCCGAAACACAAAAGGTGGGAAATTGAAGGAAGATTTGAAATCCAACTTGGACAAGACTTACAACAAATAATTACAGAAAGCAAGAACTTGGGTTTGTGGCTACATAAGATGCTGATCTGAGATTTCACAAACATATAAATTCACTTTGTCGTTGTTGGTACAGTATCTTACGTCAACTCTATCAAAGTAGAGATATTATGACTTCCAAATTGAAGTTGAAACTTTGCGAAACCCTCATATTGTTTAGATTACTGGCCTGCTTTGATACAAATTGATGTAAATCGCTTACAAAAAATACAAAACAATTGCATTCGTCTTTCTTATGGAGTGAGAAAATTCGACCATATATCCCCCAAGTTCGAGGAGTCAGCTTGGTTACCGATTGCTAAAACCTGGCAGTTTCACCTACTCGTCAATACACATAAATTCCTCATTTACAAAAAGCCAAATTATATTTATGGAAGATATAAAACTTTCAAATCTCAGAATAATTTGAGGACACAAAACCGTCACACTTTTATTATTCCAAAACATCGACAGCCTGCTTTTCTCGTTGTTTTATTTACAACTCTATCAATCAATATAACGCTCAGCCCAGTGAATTCAGACAGTACTAGATATATAATTTCAAGAAAAAGTTGAAAACATATCTAAAGTCTTCTGGATAGATAATATATTCATGTTATGCCTTGCTCATATGGTTTTCCCTTTGTCTCACTTTTGTGTATGTTTTGCTATTTTGTGTTTTTCTTAGTTTCACAAAGGTTCATGTATACTAGGTGTATATATACAATGTATACTAGATAATTATTTTTATATTTCTATATAATACATGCTATTCTCTAGGTTTAGTTGTAAAACAGCCTTGGCTGAACTTTATAAATAATGTAGGTCACAGAATAAAGCTCATTTATCATTATTATTATTATTTGGAAACTACTTACTGCTCTACTGAATAACATAGGTACTCAAAGAAAATGAAGGTCCATTTTAGGTTTGGCAATAAAAACAGCAAATCAAAATCTGTTAAAAAAAACCTATTTCACCGTTAACCAGCTGTCGCACCCCTCTGAACGACAACCCTCAAAAGTCGAAACTTGTGCAAGCTAAGTATTAACAAGGTCTTACCTTTTAACGTGTGATTCCCAAGAACTCGAAACGAATTCATTCATGAGCCCAAATTGAATCTTTTTTGTTGTAGAAATCTAATTTTTATATTATTTTTTTTCAGTATGACGATGGCATTCACCCGGGGTACATGGACAGCGCGGCGGGTGGCATGTATGAACCCCACGTGGCTCACAGGCCCAGTTTATCCGGTCTGCACCACTCCCCCCACCTCAACCATGCCATGCATCCGTACCATTCAAACCATGTCAACCCCACCAACCACGTTATGGGGGGAGCAGTACCTGATGTTGGAAAACGAGAAAAGGACGCCATCTACGGGTGAGAAATAGTATTATCATTAACCGATAGATAGTAACGGGTGCCCTGTTTGGGCAACGTACCGCGCGCTTGGCAATGTGGTGGAAAAATTTGAATCCACTGCTTCAGTTAACGATCAACCAACACCCTTACGTCGACAAAACGCGAGATCTGCCAAAACCATCGGCGTTGTCTGTGAGAGTGTGCAGGAGAATCGGAGGCAATCGAATTCGCGTCACAAGAACTGGGCCTTTCGCAGACCACAACCAGGCGGCCCATTTCTAAATAAAACCTTTTGACCCATGCTGAGATGTATTTGAACAAAAGGGTGCAAAAGGGTGTAAGTGTATTGATATTTCCCTGTATATACATTTTAAATATATCACTATATATACATAATAATGAAGATTGCTATGCTGAAAATGGTGACAAACACAGGTTTGGAACAAGAAACAAAGATAAACTCACATCGAAAAACCACACATATTTTACAAAATCACCACAACATAATGGACTTACTCTATCCAATGGGGAATGTTTCTCCTGACAAAAATCAAGTAGTTTTCATAAAAGAACTCTAAAACAACGCATTTTGAACTTATCATTTCAACCTTTTTCTTTAAAAAATTATTTAAATACTTAAAAAAGAGGAATGAAATAATGCATTCAACATTTAAAGGATTCGTTTCTATTTCACCATTTGGCAACATCGGTTATAGCTAATAAAGGACAATTAATCTGTTACCTGAATGAGACAAATAAAGATGACATATTTCAGAGGCGTGCTGTTCTGTTTACTTATGTTCCGAGTTCCGAGACATTCAGTGGCATATGACATTTTGAGCACCTAACCTATTTTCCTCTATATAAATAAATAACAAAACTACTGTTTTTTATGTAGCTTGTGGAGGTGCTATTGAACTATAATTTATATTTTGCCTTAATTGTTGATTTATTAAGATAATTTTCCTTTTTTAAATTAGAATATCTAGGTGCGTTTAAATTATTTCAACTTGATATAGGCGCTGTTGCCAATATGTGAATTAGAAACAAATCTTCTTAAAAATCAAAACCCAACATTTGAAACATCAATTTGAATACTTTCCGAAGTGAATTTGAAAAACTCATGAATTAAACTCATCTTTATTTTGTTCAAACTTGCATTTGTTTTAATAACCCAAATTGAGGAACATTCCCCATTATATATCAAAATAATGTAACAGAATTTCACTAGTTCGGCCTTCCATTGTCTAATATATAAAATGATTTGATATCCCTGAAACAACTAACAGAAGAATTAACAATAAATAGCTGTAAATAACAATTATATTAAGCAAAACACACAGGAAGATCAACTAATTAGTTTCGACGTGGAAAGCCTTTACACCAACGTTCCGGTCGAAGAAGCACTCCAAATCATCCGAATCATCCAAATCATCGTCTATCCGAAGACGGAAACCTGAAAGAGCAATAGAAGTAATTATGGAATTACTAGGATGCTGTGTACTGTTATTTCCAACTGAAAGACGAATTCTTTATACAAGATGAGGGACTGCCAATGGGATCGCTACTTTCACCAGCCATAGCCAACATATATATGGAGTGGTTTGAAACTCTGGCCATTGAAGAAGCCCACAAGAAACCTCGAGTCTGGTTGAGATATGTTGACGACACCTTCATAATATGGAACTATGGGAATACTAAACTAGACGCCTTCCTGAACTACATCAACTGCGTGAGACCTTCCATTACTTTCACAATGGAGAAAGAAATCCACAACGAATTGCCATTCTTAGACGTTTTGGTGAAGAGGACCGATACTAAGTGGGAAACATCTATATACCAAAAACCCACTCACACGGGACAGTATCTGAACCACGAATCCAACCACCATCAATAGACTAAAAGAGGAATCATCAAGACTCTATTAGACAGTGCTTTCGGGCTCTGTAACACGAAGGAAGGTCTCGAGAAGAAACTAGACATCAAAAATGATCTTCAATGGAATGGATACTCCAAAGCGATAGTAGAAAAGATTTTGGCGACACACACAGCGAGGGAAAACCAGCAAATCAGGAATAGCAGACCATGTTTGGACCCATCAACACAACATCGAGTGGTCCCAAGCTAAGATCTTGCACAGAGAGGAACATTGGTTTAGGAGAAAATTCAAGGAAGCCGCATACATGTTATCCAACAACGTATTCAGCCAAGCCAGCGTAGAAATACGCAACATATGGAAACCTATCATCAAGCGAAAAATGGCCAACTCCCGCCAAAACGGTCATCTCCCACTGAAACAGTGAAGCGGAAAAATGGAAAGCGGGGATAAGAGGAAGTACTCGAACGACCCATAAATAGTCATCTCTCGGAGAAATTATTTCAGTCATCACCCGAAGACGATTGTGGATACCATCAATCGAAACGTTGTGAACTAATTCGGCTTGAAATCTCTTAACTTTTTCATTTTTATCTATAATTTTATTTTGTATTTCTTTATTTTTAATTTTTCTTCAATTGTTTTATTTTTACTTGTATTTTATGTCACTATCATTTCATTTCAGTTTTTTTTGCTTAATATAATTGTTATTTACAGCTATTTATTTTTAATTCGTCTTTCAGTTATTTCAGGGATTTCAAATCATTTTATGTATTAGACAATGGAAGTCCAAACTAGTGAAATTCATCATGAAGCATTGTCAATCACCTTCAAACAAATGTAACAGAATTATGACGCCCTCTCTGCAAGAAAAAAGTTTTGAAAATACTAACAATTAATGCTTTCTACAGCCTTTAAGAATTCGTAAACTATTGCAAAAATACATAATTTATTTTATTACTTGTATGTAAGTATGTCCCTTGCATGAATACTGTACTTTCATAATAATTTATGGACCTGTTCCATTTTGTGTATTTTAGAACTTGGGTTCAAAATCATCCCAATGTATGACCATCAGTTCCCCCACACCTACATACTACTGAGATGAATGATATTTGAACTGGCTAACCCACTAAACATTGAAGGTAATCCTGATATACATCCAGTGGGGTCCTATGACTGATGTTTTGTTCTGCATAGCAATAATAATGTGCTACTGAGTGTAATATTACTTGCCATATTCAAGCACAGCTTGGCTACAAATGGGTAATAAAGAAACTGAAACTGGAGCTGAATAGGCACGTGAACTAACAAAACTGTCGAATTTGGGACGATACCAACCCACATGAGACCCAAAAGCGTCCAATTCATCTCGAAAAAATCACTGTTTGGTGGGGATTTTGGGCTGGCGACATCATCAATCCATATACCTTTGAGAACGACGTTCACCAGATCATAAGTGTCAACGACGACCAATCTTTATGGCCTGACTTGGATGATCTGAACACCAACAACATGTGGTTTCAACAGGATGGCGCTAAAGGTGCCACACAGTTTTTACCACAATGGAAATTCGCCACCGGGATCGTACGATTTGACTTAGTCAGACTTTTTCTTGTTGGGTTTCCTCAAGTCGCAGATGGATACGAATAAGCCACAAAGTACAGCGGTCCTCAAAGCTAACATAACCCATACCATCTGTCAAATTTAGCCTATTTATCCGCCAGAGTCATGGAAAATTGGACGTTAAGGATGCGTTTCACGCTTAATGAAAGACCCTACACTAGCGGCTTCGGATAATTATTGAAAAGGTCTACATACACTGACTTCTTGTGCGAAAATTGTGACTGAATCTCTTCTGCACCAACAACGAGTACATACCTACGCATCAGTATTTATTTTATTCAAAAATATCGAATAACTACACCGTTGGTTTTAATCTAGAATTTCCCGTTTTGCACGCGTTGTTATCAGCTGCTGAATTCACAATATATTTTAAAATATTACTCATAAATAAAAGCTGATGTACAGTGTCAATGGCAGTTTATTTATGCCAATAATTCATTTTCGTTTTTTTGGAAGTGTTCACCTGAATCTGGGTTCTATATACAAACACTGGTTGGGTGGAATTTATATCAAATATTTATCTTATAACATTAGACACGATACCATAGATGTCAGTCATCAATAACTGTACGATGCAAGGCATTACTTGCCTTGCTTTCTATTCAAAGCAGCAGGATTTTGTAATATTGCTAAAAATGGTCGATACACGTTAAAATCGACGGTAACACTTTGTCTTCACTCAACAGTTCAAAAAACCGCATAACAGCAAAGAAATTATGAGTGACAGTTCTGCTTCCAGGCATTATCATCTCTAAAAATGAAAAGTGATTATAATGAGTGATAACTTCATTCATAATAACTATTTTTGATGGAATTTGAAATCGAATAAAAAACATTTTGTGATTACTGCTTGGCAGAACTTGAATCAGCGCTTTATATAATTCAACAATTTGAATCATTTGACCTTCTGCCTAGAACTGATAATTTTACCTTTGTTTAGGCATAAACTAATTAAAAATTCAAACATTAAGAAAGACCCTTCACGAATTAATTTAAATGGACTTGTAACATATGAAAATTACCTGAGATTACGTATAAACTGATTACCAGTTTCCACATTATAAAAAATATTCAATGAAGGGGAGTATCCGATTTTATTCATTTATTTCCGAGCATCCCAAAAGATCGAGTTTCAAACCTTCCTCTTTCAAAAGTAACACGTCATAGTCGTAATTCAACTCGTGCCCTCCTGCCAAAACAAGGTTTGCAAATGTGGAATTGGTCTTCACAAAAGACTATTCATATGCTCTTTTATTCTTTGGAAAAAGTTCTCTCCGTTTGGCCAATATAGAGTTTTTGATAAGAACCAGAAGTTAGTCATTCTAGTCACAGATTCCGCGATTAGATTCAAGTTGAAAGCAATAACGGACAGAACTCTACAAGGTTGTGAACCTTGTAGAAATAGAGAATCTGGAAAGTATTTCCACAACCACATATTTGCATATCATTTTCTTTCTTAAAAATCGTTATTCTCCAGCGAGTCCAATGTTCAAAGAAGACGCACTGGTATTATCAT